AGCGGCGCAGCACCCTCAATCATCGCCCTCACAAGTTCAACTCCTCGAGGCGCATATTTAAAAGGAATTTCGAGAACATTATTTTTTTTCAGGTCCCCCCACCTTTAAAGGGTAAAATTTCATACAATTTCAGAAAAAAATTTAACTTTAATTCAGTTCGATTTTTATGAAATATTGGTCAGGCGAAGAATTGGTTTATCCGGTTGTGTCATTAATTAAAAGGGGTACATCTCAAAGTGCCAAAATTCCACCAAAAATTCCGCTGTTTCTTAATATATTGAGCAAAAATCCAAAATTCAAAAATGAATTCAAAATTGAATCTTTCGCGAAGCGCGACCAGTCCGTATCGGGTCCAGAAATTCTATTTTCGGACGTTTTGGATCCGAAAAATGGACTTTTTTCTTAATTTCCAAATTCTCTTTTCAGCGGGATTTATCTCCAATATCGTGTTAATCAGAAATCATTGTTGTCAGTAGCTATATTAACTGAAAGTGAGCTATCCGAAAGTGGAAAAATTCTCCCTAAAACACCTGTATTTTTCAATGTTTTGAGTGGAAATCCGAAATTTCAAAATAAATTCAAAATTGAAACTTTTGCGATGAGCCATAAACCAGTTGGTGGTCCAGGAATTCCAATTTCCGAAGTTTTGAATTCAAAAAATGGATTTTTGGATGAAAATGGATCGATGACAATTGAATATGGATTTCATTTTGATGCTATTTTTGATGAAGATCAAGAAATGTGGAAATTCAATTTGGAATCCAAACTTTTTGATTGCGAATTGAAGAAAAATATGATAACTTTTGAAAAAGGAGAAAAAATGCTCTATTTTTCACTTTACATCCGGATTCTCTGAATTTCCGACTTCCTAAACTTTTAAATAGATTCTCAATTTTCACATTTCATCTGATTTTCTGAATTTTCAGCTAGTTCTTTTCCACGATTCCCAGTCAAAAATCAAGGATAAGTACACGGAAATAGATCTTCTCGGAATCCTGAAAAAATTTGAAATTGAAATTTTTGAAAAATTTCTCCAAATTG